AAAGGAACATGAGCTCTGTCCCCTCCAGGAATTAACTGGAGGGGGGGTAGAGTCCTGTGGGACAGCGTCTAGTGTGTGAGGTAGCTGGGTAAGGGGGAGAGGGAGCTGATGGAGCATTAGATGGGTTTTTTTCAAGGGAGTTTGGGGGCTTTTTGCAAAGGGTTACCATGGTCTGGGTATCTAGCCTGCATTTGTTTAGCCATTCTGGGTGGTCTCTTAGGAAAAAGAACAATTGAACGTATGGAACTTCGGTCCACTTTCCCTCCTTTTTACAGAACATATCTAATTGAAGAATGGTATTATAATTAATGCTCCTCCTTCTGGCCATCTTTCCTCATCTCCCAGAGGATACTGTGGCCAAGCCTGGGCAGTAAAACTTGAGCTTTTAATAAGTAGGCAAGGGGGGATCCTTCCTGGATCCTTGAGGCTTGATTTCCCATCTAAAAAGGGAAACAAGGGAAAATTGGTCACCTTAACAGAGGTTTCTCCTTTTATCTAAGCGTCCCCAGATGAGGAGAAACTCTAGTGGGAGAGGGCGTCCCGCTCTCCCTTGCTCCTTCCACTGCCACTCGTGGGTAGAGTCGTGGAGGATTTACAGATAGATATCTCAGTTGCACCCACCCCCCTGAGATGATCTTTGACCAATCTCTCATCTATTTTGACTTGCCTGTTTGCCCTGCGACCCAGGTAGGCCTAGTTCTCCTCTATCAGCTGAAGCTTGTAATTAAAAATAACTCTATCAAAGTAACCAAGAGGGCTTGCATGGCCAGAAGGAGGACCCTTTAGAGGCATGGATGGGGACTCTTGATGAAGTAGACTTTTGTTCCCCTATATATCCTGTGAGGCATATATGCTTTCTATGAAAGGAGAGAGAGCATCTGGAGGCTTTTGCTCTGATAAGGGGCAAAAAACGGAGACCTGAGGTTTTTGCCTTTTAACTGTTTTTTTTTTTTTCCTGAGGGCAGGCTGCGGAACCTGTTTAACCAGTTAATCTGATGCTTGACAAAGACAGTTAAGCCTAAATTGGAGACTAGCACTTTCTGATGCCTGTAGGGATTTTTCCCAAACTCCTGAAGAAAGAAGCTCACTGCTATTTACAGCAAAGGCAGGGGAGGGGGACACTCATCCTGAACTGCCTGGGAAAGGGGAAGGAGAGGCTGAGGGTTGGGGAAAAAGAGAGTTTCCAGGCTCAATATGAGGGATTATTGATCATCCCTGCTGTCCAGGTCGATCCTGCCAAAGGCAGTACTGGAGCACTGGAAGCAAGAGGTGACCTCCACTCTCGGGCCAGGAAACCATGAAGAAAGCATGAGAGATCTGATTGTCTGTTTGCCGTGGACATGGATGGAGAGGTCCAAGACTTAGCCGCCTTTGGGGCCTCAGGGCAGGTCAGGAAGTTGCGTCTCCAGCCTTTGGGTGACACCGGGGAGTGCCCCGGCCAGAACACCTTTTGTGGCTTGAAGACAAACTTTCCTTTCCACCGGCTGTTTTCGGACCTCCCCTTAAGCTGGTCAAATCTTGAAAGAGAGTTTAGCATTTAAGGAGAGGAAAAAAGAAAAAGCCTCGGTGCACTGAAGTCGAGTTCTGCCCACGTAGCATTGGCAGTGCAGTACAAACCCCTGCCTGGCCTCTGAGTTTCCTCAGATTGCCTGCCGTACAGCTGTAGTGGGCTCGGACCTTTTCCTCAGTTTCCCAAGGAAGAAACCCTCCTTAACAAGACAGAGAGAGAGAAGGTCGACCTGAGAGTTCCACCGTAGCTAGGCTGTGGTGGGGGGTCTCTCCTGGAAAACAGACTCCACCGGAGTGCCGGACTCACGGTCACATTCCTAGGCAGTCTTTCCCAGTTTGGCACAACCTATACTGACCTCAGGTGAAGGCTGGTCCCTTCGTGCTTGCCAAAATATGCACGGATGACACGTGCAGAGAATTTCAGATGCTCAGGGTTCTTGAGCCTGCTCTGAGAATGAAAGCACAGACAGACTCTAACAGCAGAGGTCGAAAGATTTTTTTGTAGAGAATTTAGTTGGAGAAAAGAGAAGAGAAAGACTGCATATTGGAGAATGCAGGGGGACCGGAAACCGGTGATCCCTGGGCAGGGTGGGGAGTGGGGTTTTATAGCCTATTTTGCATTGCCTGAGGCAGGATGCCTTTCAGATGCAAACAGGCATTTCCTAGGGAGGAAGTGTCTCCTTGACCTCCTGCGGTCTGTCCTTCAGCCCTTCAGGGCTGGGACCAGGCAGAGTGGCCACCACATTCCATTTGCTGCAGGCTCCACCTCTGAGGTTTTCAGGACTGTGATCAGCCTCTACCCAGTCCACCATCTTCTGGGGCAGCAGTTTTGAACTTATTTGGTGCTTGGGTACCCTGGTTTGACATTTAGGCCCTTTGACTTCTGTGGGAGAGTCTGTGCATCTCAGCTCAAGGTGGCTAGGGGTCTTTGCTAATCACTGGACAGAGCAGCAAGGCCTGGGACCAGGAGTCAGGGAATGGGGCAGGACAGAAGTGAGCTCTGCCTCTTCTCCACAGGGACTGCCCAAGACTGAGTCTCAAGGAATCAGCCAAGTGTGGGTTTCTGGACTCAGTGGGCCACTTCAGTCTCCTTTTTGTGTCTGATTTTATCCTTCCTCGGGACTTACAGGTCCCTCCACCTTGGGGAAGAATTGTTACTATTTGGTGTTTGTTTTGTTTTTTTGTGGCATGATGATTTGAGCTCAATGCCTCTGAGACACAATGCTTGAGCCACACACCCAGTCTCAGTCCTTGGCTTTGTGTCAAGGGCAGTGACAAGGTCTTATTCCTCTCTGCCTAGTCCCTTTAATACCATAGATGCTCAATAAATATTTGTTGGAGGACTTCTACCCAGAGACTTTTTTTCCACTTTATTGCCACTCTTGCCTGGGAGCAGATGATGTCAAGATGCCTATGCTGAAGGTTCAAACATATTTTTTAAATTTTTTCAGGATGTGGTCCTTTAGAAGAATGCACAACATCTTAAAGCCCTGTGGAGCAGGCACCAGTTGCTCACACCTGTAATCCTAGCTATTCAGGAAGGCAGAGATCAGGAGGATCGTGTTTCACAGCAGCCTACGGCAAATAGTTTCAAGAGACCTTATCTCCGAAAAACCCAACACAAAAAGGGTAGGTTCAAGTGGTAAGAATGCCTTGTCTAGCAAGATGAAGTTCAAGCCCCACTACCACCAAAAGAAGCTCAGGACTGGGTGGGGAGTGGGGAAGGCAATAAAGTTGTTGTTGGTGGTGGTTTTTTTTTCTTTTTTCTTTGCGGTAATGGGGTTTGAACTCGGCTACGCCTTGGGTCACTCCACCAGCCCTTTTTTGCGATGGTTTTTTTTCAAGATAAGGTCTTGAGAATTATTTACCTGGGGCTGGCTTCAAACTGCGATCCTCCTGATCTCTGCTCCTGAGTAGTAGGATTACAGACGTGAGCCACTTTGCCTGGTGGCAATGAAGATCTTCAGAACACTCAGACTTCGAATGGGAAGAGACTTGTAGCTCATCCACGCTTACTTCCAACTTTTTCAAGGCCAGATGGTTGACAATTTGCCCAAAGTCACACAGCAAGTTGTGGCAGTGAAACATGAACTCAGATTTCTAATACCAGCCCAAAGCCTTTGGCAGCAGTGTTGCACTACTCTCTTTGGCCATAGGGGGAGCTCGTGGAAACATCTTAGAGGAGACACACAGCTCCAGATCCTTCTTCATGTCAGACAGACATGTGGAGGAGGAACACTGGCATCAGATCATGAAAATTAAATTTTATAGAGTTTTCTTGCTGGAGTCTGGTTGAGCCTGAACCCAACAAACAAGGTCCTGAGCCTGAGCAGTCTGTGCCAAGCTGGAGAAAGGAAGGGAGAAGGGAGGAATTTTTTACCCAGGCCTGTTTTCCAGCTTTAGTAACTCAGAGTTTATGACACACTGCAGGGAATGTTTTTGTGTGTAAATTCAAACAAACTGTTTTCCCATTCCCTGGGGTACCCAGCTGGACAAGCCTGGACTGATTACAACCAGCCCTGGGTATGAACGTTGGAAGGGACACCAAGAAAGGGATAGCTCTGGCCTGCAGGCAAAGGCACAGGACACAGGAACAGGGATGGATGGGAGCTGACCCAGCAGCTACATCCCTGGGGTGACAACTTTTTTCTTTTTTTAGTTAAACTTTTTGGTGGGGGGAGTTGCTAGGGATCAAACCTAGGGCCTTGTTCACACTAGGCAACATCTCCACCCCAGCCCCACTGGTGACACTTCTAACATGGCAGGAAAAAGAGGGGCCTCAGGAGGCCAGGAGGGGAACAAAGACTTCTGTTGCATATGCATCCTGTTTTCATAATGGTCCCTGGTTCCTCCTAGTGCTCTAGCTGCTAACAAGCCTTCCGTTCCCTTGGTCAGTCAGTGTCTGGCTTCCCCAACCCAGCATTAAAACTTCCCCACCAAGGATACATGTTGGGGCAAAAGAGAGAAGACATCCCTAGGGCAGGCCCTACTGAGATGGAGGAGACCCCTTAGATAGCCTCAGTTCTGAGATCTTAGCCTGGAAGGTCCACTCCAGGAAAATGGGAGAGGAGCCCTCCTGTGCAGATGTCTAGACAGGCACTTCCACTGCCCTTTAATCTGCCCTTATCCTGAATCTAGGTCAACTCCTCAGTGTGGTCCTCTATCATCACTTCTCCTGGAACTCACAGCCCGTATGAGGCCCAGCATGGTGTGGGGGCAGCTATACTGTTTGTTGTTCAAGGGTCAGGGCTCATCATTTGAGAAGAAGCCAGAGAAGGACAAGAAGACCTGATGTTGGAGGCAGGCAGATTGGATGTGAAGATCCAATGTGTTGGATTGTAGGAGCAGCAAGTGAGGAGCCAGCCAAGGCTGGGATGGGCTCATTGCCCTGAGTTTGTGTTTCAAGACCACACCTTCCCTGGGTCCAAAGAAAATGACAGAAGGGCTGGCTCCTGAATTTTGCTGGCCGAAAGGAAGGTCACTCGCTGACCTCAGGGCTCAGACGCTGATCTCTGCACGCTCAAACACTGGTTTACATACAGTCCTTTCAACGTGCAGCTGCTTCTTGGAATGTCCTTGCCTTCCAGGATAAGACTTGGCACTGAGGCAGTCTCTGAGCTGACTCCTTCTGCCTTGGCTTGCCTGCCTTGCCTCTCCTTCTTCTGCAAGGCATAGAAGCTGCACCCATAAACAGGCCAGAAGAGATGAGAAGAAGCTTGACATGAAGAACATAGCTGAAGTTGTTGGTAAGAATCCACGAGGAACCCTGGGGGTAGAGAACACATATATTAGGCACATGTTAGGGCTACTAGGCTTGTTCTTCACTTGCGCACTCTATGAGAGCAGGAATTTTAGTTTTTGTCCTCTGCTGGACAGGGATTGTGACTTATACCCAATAGGTACTCTGTAGATAGTTTGTTGAATGAAAGGAGGAAGGAGGAACCTGCCCTAGGCTGCCCTAGGCAGGAGTCTTTAGGCCATAAGAGGAGTGTAAGAACATGACTTCCTTAAGGACAGGCAGAAGGAGATTAGATAGAGAGTAGGAGATGCTTGCTCAGACTTGTCCCTCCCCAGGTCCCACCTCATCCTAAATAGTTCTCTCTATTATTTGCTTGAAGAACTCATTGGAAACCAGGACTTCCAATGTCACACTTAGGAAAAAGGTCCCGTTGGACTGGAGTCAAACTCCCAGTTCTTAATATAATACAGCCATCATGTATTGTTTGTTGACTGCCCTCAGCACCAAGGGCTTTGTATAACCTTCCTCAACTCTACGAAAGTCACACACTCAGCTGCCTGGCAACCCTCTCCTGTGGGTCTTATCTTGTAAATTTTGTTGTTTCCGTCCAGCATAAATCACCACTCCACAGTGGTTTGGACACAAACATGTCCTCCTCCTTCCATTCCTGACTTCTCATGAGAAGATAAGCCCAAGAGCCTAGTTTTTGGCCAGTTGCACCATGAGTGGTCTGGGTGAATAATGACGAAGGCACATGCCCTTTTGGACATTTTTGCAGCTGACCTTGTGGCTCAGAGAAGGAACGTGATTTCCCAGGTTTTAGATAGGAAGTAGGTGAACTAGGAATGGCTGATAACAGCAAACACAGGTATAGCATTTATTATGTGCCAGACTCTCTGCTAAGCCTTTTACTTCATACACTTGGGGGCCATTACGAAAGCCCATAAGGGATATCCTATTTTCACAGTTAAGAAAATTAGAAGCACAGAAAGGAAGACGAAGGAACTCATGTACAAATCCATAATTTTCAACTGAGTGACAGGTGGAAGACAAACTATAACACATTTCCCAGGACGGTCTGGGAGAATCACAGATTCACAGTCCCTACACAGAGAGAAGATGCTGGACAGGTCCAACTCTGTCCAGACTGAAGCCTTTGCCCTACCCTCCATACCCTGCCCACACCCACACAGGCCCCCACTGGGGCACAACTGGTCACCTTCCTCCCAGGTTCTCACCGGCCAGTGGTGAGAAATGAGGGAAGCAATGCCAAAAGTACGGTGAGAGACCCAGGGCACTAGGAACCGATCCATCGGGACGATGTCCATCAGGACCTGGCAGATGAGGACGCCAACGCCACACATGGACACGCTGTAGACCAGGCAGTGCCCACTAGCACCTGGTAGTCAGCAGACAGTGCACACCAGATTGGTGAGCCATTGAGCAGGACTGCCAGGCTGAATAGGTTATTGCGGTAGCCGGCGAGTCTCTGTCGACCTATCAGCAGCCCTGCTATGGGCGCAAAGAAAGATGTTGCAAAAACCAATGATGGAAACAAGCAGGCTGCCGATATTCATCTACCCGTGCCATGCATATGGCACCAGGAAGGTATGTGGCAGTGTGAAGCCTAGAATCATCAATGTCCCGCCTACTGTGTACACTCTGTAAACCCATGTTGTGTTGCAGGATGTCACAGGCCAGGTGGTCGGGAATAGTTGAGTCACACGTTGCCAGGCAGCTGCGCACAGGTGTCTTGGAAGGTAGAGGGGACTTTCTCTGGTCTCAGGTGTTGCACTGGTGGCCAGGGCCCTATGATGGCCCCACAGATACAGCAATGTGGAGAAGGACCCACCGCCGAAGACAGGAAGGAGCCCTCCAGCCCAGATCCCTCCAGGAGGTAGCGGGCTAGCAGTGGCCAGAGGGTGACGCCCAAGGACAATCCTATGGAGCCAGTGCGTTGGCCATCGGCCGCCGGCGGACAAAATACAAGCCCAGCACTTGATGCTTGACTGGAAGCTGAACACATGCCGAGACCTGCAGAGTGGAGGGGAGACCAGCTCAGGGGCATTCTGGGGCCTTTACCTACACCAGAGTGGGGGGGGGTCCTAGGTTCATGTCCCATGGATGCTTTTGTTGGTTCTATGCCAGACCCACTTCAAAGCCCCATGCAATGAAGATGGATCTGTCTGCCTTGACACCTCCCTGTAAGCATCCCACCACCCCTCAGCTCTGCCTCCAAGGCTGCAGGGACACAACTCAGTTCCCCCTTGGCACAGCACAGAGCCACTTTTAAATACCCATTTACACCTTCCAAAGACCTTTCCCTCACACTTGAAAAATATCCAGAGTATTTACTCTGTCCTGGAAGGCTCTGTGTGGTTTGGCTTGACCCACCTCTCTGAATGCCATCTCAGGCCACTCCCTGTCATCCGACCAGGATTCAAGCCAACTCAGCCTTCCTTTTTCTCCTTCTCTTTGTTCTTCCTACCTCCGGGACATTGCAGTAGCATCCTTCTCTCCCTGGAAACACGTTTCACTCAGACTTTTCCACTCAACTCACACATCACTTCCAGAGGGGCCTCCAGCTCCCCACTCCTCCACGCCTACACTCCACAGCTTGCCTCATGCCATGAAACAAAGCTCAAGACAACAATGAAGACAGCTGCCCCCGGTTTGCACTATGGGTAATCTCTGGGTCACTCACTTTGCCTTCCGTCCTTGTGATATCAACTGGAGATGGACATGACCCACCCAGTTTCCAGGGCTTCTATTCAGCATCCCGGCAGTAATCCCCTCTCCCTACATATACTCCCCGTCCTCCTTACTAGATCATTCTCCGTATTATTCTTATTTTTACTATTTAAAAAAAAAGAAAAGAAAAGAAAAAAGAAAAAGAAGTTTTGGGCTTCTGGAAGCCTCACTCCTATATTCCTAGCTACTTGGGAGGCTTTGAGATTGGAGGATCAAGGTTAGAGGCCAGTCCCAGGCAAATAGCTTCCCGAGACTCATCTCAAAATAACCAGAGCCAATGGACTGGGGATGTGGCTCAATGGTAGAAATGGCTGAAAAAAGGAAAAAAAAAACCCGAAAACAAAACCAAAAATTTTTTTTTTTTCTTTTTAATTTTGGTGGGACCTGAGGTTTGAAACTCAGGCCTCATGCTTGCCTAGGTAGGCACTCTACCACTTGAGCTACCCTGTCAGCCCTAAAAACTTTTTGATACCACAAACTCCTTTTTGGGTATTTCCCCCCTTCTCAGATCCATAGAAATAGCCCAGCAGGGGCTGGGGATGTAGCTCCATGGTAAAATGCATACTTAGCATGTAAAGTCCTGCGTGTGAATGCCAGCACATTTCTATCAGACCTTGATCTTCACCTCTGCACTATACTTGCTCTTGTCAAGATCTACAAGGCTGCACTGAGAGGGCGAGTCTGGCCCTCAGCCCAGCTAACTCATCAGCAGCTGGCACACTTCATCACTCACTTCCTGGAGAAACTCTCCTGATTCTCCTACCTCTGGGTCACTTCTTCTTGCCAGACCTCTGGGCAGTGCCTAGGCTCAGTCCTTAGTCCTCTTCTTCAGCTGTCACCCTCATTCCCTCAGAGATGGCAGGGTGATTTCTTATCTTATGCTCCCACCATCTCATGACTCCTGAACTGCCCACTCCAGCTCAGGGTTCCTCTCTGGAACCCCAGACAGGACCATCCAGACTCAAGCTTCCCACTTCCCCAAACTGCTCTTCCCCTTTCCCCACTGATGATGGCAGCTCCATCCTTCCATTGTCTCCAGGCCAAAACTCTTTGATGTCACTTCTCGACTCTTGTGTTATCTTTGACTCTTCTTTCTGTATCTCATATGCAACCACAGCTTCATCTCTTCCCAATCACTTCCATCACACTATCCTGGTCCAAGCTACAACCACCTCATACCTGGCTCTCAACCCTGCTCCCTACTTGTTCTGTCTACTCTTAGCCTTGCCCCAATACCACCGCAGCCAGAGGGGTGCTTTGCAAATAGTAATTGGATAGTGTGACTCACCCCTCAATGGCTTCCCCAACTCACTACAAAAAACCTTTTGTGAACTAAAACCCCATCAGGCCTCTACACTTCACCTCTTTGGCCCCTTCGCTCATGCCTCTTTAACCTACTGCTACTTTTCTGCTCCTGAACTTCAGGACCTTTGCACTTGCTGCTCCCTCTGCCTGGAATGCTCTTTCCCAGAAAGCCTCATATCAGATTCTCTCTCCTCTTCTTGTCTCTGCTTGCTGTGGTTAGGATAAACATGGATTGGATAGTGTGACTCACCCCTCAATGGCTTCCCCAACTCACTACAAAACCTTTTGTGAACTAAACCCCATCAGGCCTCTACACTTCACCTCTTTGGCCCCTTCGCTCATGCCTCTTTAACCTACTGCTACTTTTCTGCTCCTGAACTTCAGGACCTTTGCACTTGCTGCTCCCTCTGCCTGGAATGCTCTTTCCCAGAAAGCCTCATATCAGATTCTCTCTCCTCTCTTGTCTCTGCTTGCTGTGGTTAGGATAAACATGGGAAAGGCTTGGTCACCAGCATGGTGCTATTGAGAAGTGATGGAAACATTGAGAGGTGGGCCTAGTGGAAGGTCTTTGGGTTATTGGGGATGTGCCCTCAAGGAGGATAGTGGGATCTCAACCCCTTCCTCTTTCTCTCTTTTGCTCCCTGGCCATGAGATGGGTTAGTTTTGCTCTGCCATACGATATTACCATGATGTGCTTATCTTACCATAAGCTTATGGGGCCAACCAATTAAGAACTGAAACTTCCAAAACTGTGAGTCTATGTAAACCTTTCTTCTTTATAAGTCAACTGTCTCAGGTATTTATTATAGTATCAGAAAGCTGACTTATACACTACTCAAATGTTACCCCCTCTCCAAGGCCCTCCATAACTGCCCTGTCGAGAATAGTAAACCTCTCCACTCCTGCTTTGTTTCCTACACTGGGTGTCCTGGATTTCACCTCTTGACTCATTTCATGTTAGGCCAGGATGCATTCTTATTTATCTGATAATCATCCATTTCCCTCATCAGACTGTAAACAGTTCTAGAAAATTAAGAGGCTTGCCTGCCTTTCCCACACCTGCCTGCCACTTTAAATGGAATGACAGTCACCTGTGATCACTCCTGCCGTGAGGAAAAACTGCATGAGCGTACGGGAGAAGGCACTGGCCACCATGCCCAGGCTGGCCAGCACGCCCCCCAGCATCATAGTCACTCGGCAGCCGAAGCGTCCCACCAGGAGGCTGCACAGGGGTCCTGTGGGGAGCAGACAGTCAGCAGGGGGCATTGAGTGAGGAGACTGGGATTCAGGGGCAGAATGGAGCTGGGGGAGAGGGGTTCCACCAGGAATAGCCAGGTGGCTTAGCGGACAACACAAGTCCTGGATTTTACCAGCTTGAATTCTAATTCCTTCTCTGCTACAGACTGACCATGTGATCTGAGCAAGGCCTGAGCCCTCTCTCTGCCTCAGTTTCCTATCTTCAGAGTAAGGGGTCAGACTAGATGGTGTCTGGCCAAAGTCCTGCACGCACTGACTATTCCATCCAAATGGGAGTGGTTCATGACCTGTATGGACATCCCTCACTTGGGAGAGGTCTGTCTCTAAGGGGGCATCTGGAGCATCTAAACCACGGTGAGCTTCTAGCCCACTTCTATCCTGGCCACCACACGCCCTCCACCTTCTCCTTGTACGTTTGGATAGGATCCTAGGCCATCCTGTACTTCCGTGCTCTGACCTCTGGAGTGTTCTGGAGAAAGTCAAGCCAGGTACCTTCTCCCCTCTCCCATCAGCTTTAGCCACCACCAAAATCTACACCTAGGACTAGGGGTGTAGCTCAAGGGTTGAGCACGTTCATAGCATGTGAGAGGCCGTGGGTTCAATCTCCAGCATGAAAAAACAAAAAACCCCTGGCTACACCCAGACTTTTGGTTCCGTGTGGAGAGGGCCTGCTCCACCCAGCGGCTTTCTATCCAGTCCGATAAGTAGAACTAGCCAGTCTGGCCAGCTGTTCCTAGACACCTTGCAGAAGTGCCCTGCCCATAAGCACACATATTAAAGCTTCTCCAAGTAACTCTCCCAGAGTGCAGCCAGAGGGACAAAGTATTGTGTGTGTTGCACGTGCCTGTGTGTGCATGCGTGTCTGCAGTGAAGAGGGGATGAGTGGAGTGAACCAGGGTAAATATGACAGTAACAGAGGGAGTGAGCGGCCCATCCTCAGAGACAACCAAGAGAAGGCTGCTGACCAGTCCCCCCTGCCCCTGAAGAGGAAGACATGGGGCTTTGGAGTGGCTGTGACTTCTGGTCCACATATCTTCCCCACCCCTGCGATTTGCCTGACTCAGGAAAGGTGACCTTGGGGAAATCCCAGAGTCATGGTGTCATAAGTGGAGCTAGGGCGGGGCCCAGGAGGCAGGTGTTCCTTTTGCAGGGTACAGCTCCTGCCAGGACCCCTTGCACTTTGGGTCTATTTGGTTTCCTCACCCCAAATGTGGGGGGGGCTGGGAGGGAAGTCTGAAAGGATCAAAGGATCACTTTTAAAATTTCTATGATAATCTGAATGAGCGTGGGAGAAAGAGATGGACAGAGAGGAATCCCACACCAACAGAGATGGTGTGCTTGCTCTGGGGTGAAAAGTCCAAAGCTGGCTGGGGGGGTAGGGGTCCCCACAAGATGCCTAGCTCCCAGTACCCCTCTCCAAGCACCTCTTTGTCTGCATGGAAAAGAACTGTCTGAGATTCCCATCACTCACCCCAACCCTGCAGGCCAAGCGGTAACAAGTTCTGGGCCAGGCCTGGCTTTCCCCTTGCCTGCAGCCCAAGCTTCCAAAGCAGACTGTGGATAGCGCCCATCTCTCCCAGTCTCCCCCCTCTGGGAAGGACCTAGAATAATAAGCAGGCTACAGGTGCCAGGTGGAGGAAATGGCAGAGAGGTAGCTAAGGAGCTCAGGTCAACTGAGGTAAGCAAACCCACATATGGGCAAACCCTAGGGGTGATCATGTTGGCTCCTGCTGGCCAAGCACCCCCTGAAGTCATTGTCTCTGAGGTCTCCCTAGAGAGCTTCCAGGAGCCAGGGCTTCTGTGAAGAATTCTCCCGTGGGAGAGGGTCATGCACCTCCTACTCTGCTCTCATCACTGAGGTCAGGGTGAAGGCGGTCACATTCTTACAATTGCCAACCCAGGTACATGGGCCCCTGAGGCCTGTGGGAGGAGAGCAAGGAGAAGAGGGGAAGTGAAGGCTGCCTTCCCTCCAGGCTCCAGTCTCTCCAACCTCCCCTCTTTAGGGAGCCCCAGGGAGAGATGGGGCTCTTGCTCTGTCCCCTTTTGTTCCTGGCATTTTCCTTGAGATGGAGAGTTCCTCCATACTGCAAAGAAAGATAGCCCAGCTGGCAAGTGTAAGAGCCTGGGTCTTCTGGCCCCGGCACCGGCTTCTCCCAGTCTTACACTGAGCCTCCATGTGCACCTAAGGTCTGGATGGATCACCCAATGCTCACCAAAGGACTTGCTAGGACCTTGCCTGGCTTTGTACTTCAGATGTCTCCCGGCTCTCCCATCCCCAGGGCAACCCATTTTCCTGATGACACAGCTTGGTCCAGCTGGATTCCAGCCAGGTGGAGGTGGCCCCACTGAAACCAGGTAACACTTAGGAATGTGCCCAGGAGACCAAGCCTCCTGGCCTCAGACAGAGGGACCCAGGAGACCAGGGAGATTGTGGCTTCTCCTCTATCCCACGTAATTTCTTATCCCCCCTTCAACCCCTTTCCAGACTGCTCACCCCCAGCATGGAGCATAGCCCCCAGAATGGAGGGGAACCAGGAGGTCTCGCTGTTGCTGGCCTGGAAGTCATGCTGCAGATCTGTGAAGAAGACACCGATGCATGCAGGGAAGGCCAATGTGAGGGCCTGGGTCATCAGGGAGGCCAGCAGAACCATCCAGGCCCATCTGCCATCTGCATGCTCCAGGGCCTGGGGCATCATCTGCTACCAGTGCTGCCACAGCCTTCTGTCACTTAGTGACCACTGCCTGGGAAAGGAAAAGAATGGAGCCTAGGATTGGCTGGTTGCCACCCTCCCTCAACCCACCTGCCACTTTCTCTGGGTGGCTGAGACTGTCTCTTCCTCATGCCCCAGCACCAGGTATCACGGAGGGGTACCGCCCCCTGGGAGGTGGCCAGAGCCCCACACATTGGCCTTTGCATTTCCTTTCACCCACTTCTCAGAGACAGCCTGGCAGGAGGTGGCAGGAAGGGCAGCAGGGGTGGAGCAGGCAGTAACCAATGGCACCAGGTAGGTAGGCAGAATTCTTTTCAGTTGTTACATCACCTGGCAGTCAGCAAGTGGGACCTCCTGGCCCACCCAGTAACTATTTATAGAATGTAGCCAATCTCTAGAGCTACCAAAGTCCCTATGTCCCCACAGGTACACACGGATACATTTGCAAACATTCAGGACCAAGCTTCCTATATATCAACAGACTTTTGCAATGCCACAAGAACAGCCCAAATCCACTATCAGCACTGTTGTGAAGGCTGGAGTGAGCAAGCTGGAACTGAGGACAGCCAAGGAGTGAACACATGACAGCTCAACAAGGGCACCTGACCATGGTTTTTAGAGATAAGTCACCTGGGTTCATCACAGAGCCCTTTGAAATATCCCTACAATGCTCCTTGCACAAGGAACTCGGGGTCAAGATTCAAGTCCCACGATCATGCTATCTGCCAGGGCTTGTCTGAGGACCCCTACCACAGAGCAACACCGGCACTGATACGTGCACAGTCACCCACAAGTACGCAAACTCATACAGAGGCATACAGCTAGATACACACACACACACAAAACTCACATAGTTACACACAGAGCCATACACTCACAAACATATGCAGACAAGCTGAGTGACATGCAAGGTATATAGACACACATATACAAACACACACACTCACATCTTTGGCTCCAAAAGAAAAGCCAGGCATGTCTCAACTCAGCATCTCCACCCAGGCTCTTCTTCTGTACCACAGAAGTCTCTAAAGTCTCAAGAAGGGCCCTACCCCAAATTCAGTCTTTTTCCCATTCGCTCTAGTTCTGGCTCACTACTCCGGGGTGAGGCAGGAAGGCAAAGGGCACAGCCTTTGCTTCAGTTAAGGTAACAGACTGCCAGCTGCTGTTCCTACAGCAGCCCCCTCTCCAGCTCCAGATCCTAGGGAGATCCATGAAAACTTTAGAAATTACTGAGAATATGAAACCACTTCTTCCTGCCAACTCCAACTCCCCACACCTTTGCCCTGCTCCATAGTCTTCTTTCTTTTTCCCTCCCTGCCTCCCTTCCTTCCTTCCTATCTTTCTTACTTACTTTCTTTCTTTCTAAGGTGGTCTGGCTACGTTGTTCAGGCCAGTCTAGAACTCAAGGGCTTAACCATTCCCCTGCCTCAGTCTCCTAATAGCTGGTACTACAGGTGTGCACCACTGTGCGTAGCTGATCCCAGAGTTTTAAAAGAGCACTGTATAGAGCAGACCAGGCCCCACCCTGAGTTATTCCATTTTTTATAGAGCAGTTTCCCCTGAGTCACTCCATATTAGGTAAAAATGCTAAGGTAGAATGACTGGCATTTTGTTGTGCACATAAGCAACCACCATCTGTCCTGCTTAATCATAAGTCACAATTTGATAAGTGACTTATTCATGCAAATCACATATTATCACCTGCGAGCTTATTGGACACATCAGACCAATGATGATGCAACCTTTTCATCAAAGACACATAGAAGGAGAGACACCTCACAGTGCAGCACAGCACACCAGCCTGTCACTTTGTCACTGATAAAGTGACACATCACAGCCTGTGTTCAGGAGATCTCTAAGCAATGAACTTTCTCCTGACGGTCCCCAGTTCGGCTTAGCATATTGTCCTTTCTGTTGACAGTGCCCACTTTGAGGTCCTGGGGGAGAGTCCTTTACCTTGACATCTTTACAGGTGTTAATGCAATACCTTCCTACCTGCAGTGAGTGTGAATTTGTAGTACCTCTTTGCATTGGCTATTTGTGGTGACTCTGTACATTGCTTCTTTAAATCCTCTTTATTCTTCTATATATTGTCTTCTATAACCTGTATATAATTGCAGTGTGACATGTGATTTGAGTTTTGTAGATATTAGTAGTTAAAAATGAAACAGAATAAAGAACTTGTTATTGGCATGGCTGTGACTTCAAGTGAAACCAGGAGTACTCAGTGAAGTAGAGCTAAAGAGATTGATATCGTTTATGTATCTATTGATAAACTCTGACATTTTGGAAAGACACAGAAGACTTTGTCTATGTTAATGGCATATCTTGCCCATCACAACCAAATAAGCTGGATCCACTCCAAACTGTTTTCTTCAAAGCTCCAAACCTATTTCTTCCATCAATGATACCAAAGAGCTCTGCCAAGGTGTGCAGGTGTACCACTCATCACAGCCTCAGGGTCTGTGAGTGATGTGAACCTGTGTGCAGTGATGCACAGGCATCTCCTATCCTCCTGGCTCCTGCATGGGACAGCTAGCCTTAGAGATTGTCCCTGCCCCCATCCCCCCTGTCCCAGGCCCATGGGGATGGGAGTACCTCTGATGTGGCTCCTCCAGTGAACTTGTTTCTGGCTTCTTCTTAGATTTTGTTTTCCCAGCAAATGGAAAAGACACAGGAGCTGCTGGATCTCTGATGCCTCATGTCAAATTCCACATCCTTCTCCATGTCTGTCCTCCTTCCCCAGCCCCTCATGCCTACCTGGCTTCCTCCTGCTCTTTCCCAGTTCCCTCTCCCCACTTGACCTGCTCTGGTCCCTTTATATTTCTTTCTTGTCCTGGCCCTTAAGTGATTATCTCCATAACACCGTTATAACAAGCCACTTCCTGGGCAGTCTTTTTTTGGGTACTTTATCCAGGCTCCTGTGACCTTTACTCTGTACCAACCTTTTTGATCTTTTCAGTAGGTGGGCTAGCTCTTCCCTGTATCTCCTGCTCTTCAGTCTCAGGAGCCACTAGTTCCTTGGGTGTGAGCCAACAGCCTCTAGGACAATCAGAGCCAGGCGGGGGGGGGGGCCGGGGGGGGGGGGGGGGGGGGGGCGGAGGGCAATAGGCGGGCCGGGGGGGGATACGGATGCGCTCGTGGACGAGACGGTCCCGGACGGGGGGGCAGACGAGCGCGGGTAGGGGACCGCGAGCGGACGACGTGGGCGGGCAGGGGATGTGGGGGGGGGAAAAGGGGAAACAGGAGGGGAGGTGGAGGGGGGGGGGGTGGGGGGGGGGGGGGCAGAAGGGGGGGGGGGCGGGGGTGGGGGAGGGGGGGGGGGTGGGGGGGGAGGGGAGGAGGGGGGGA